TTTTCATTGGGCGGGGTTTTAACGTGGCGGGACCCAAACCCAGCGCACGCGAAGTTTTACGCCTTCTCACTTTAGCTCGCTCCCAAACGGGTGTTTGGTTGCTACCCAGAGGATACGTGGATATAAATATCCGGACGTTGTGAGCTGCGATTTGAACCGTACGCACAAGAATCGCTTCTGGCCACTCCCAGGTGAATGGCAGTCAAAAGTTTTCCACTTCTGCGCACGGAACCATCCTCCAATCAGGTAAACACGAATTACGAATATGCCTAGGCTTCCGCCGCAAATTCTCACACGATCTAACCAATATTAATATTGATGATCATTTTGGGTTTCACCACCCTTCACCCAGTTTTTTAAAGCCCGATTCAATTCATCTTATTGAAATCGTGTGCAACGGTTTAAAAGAAGTTGGCTCGTGTCAAAGCGTGCTAACTACTTACTACAAATGCATGCGTTTAGTATTAGCAAAATAAATAGATGTTAGTAAAATAAAAGCCTGAAAAGATAACAAATTCATAAAAAATTATTATGCATGGAAAAATACATTTTCCATTACATTACCCAGTGGAAACCGTCTTCAGTAAAATAAGAACTTATAAAAAGCTGAAATAAAGTTATTTAAAAAAAAAAATATTTATATGACTAACATATATTTTCAAAGATTTTACCTAGTATAATGCGTCTTTAGTAAAATAAGTAATACAATAGTCTAAATAAAAACTCATAAAAAGCTGAAAGTAAAAATTTATAAAAAATCATTATGCATGTTAAAAATATATTTTCCAAAATTTTACCCAGTGTAAAGCGTCTTTAATATAAAAATTCATAAAAAGCTGAAAACAAAAATTTATAAAAAATCATTATGCATGTTAAAAATATATTTTCCAAAATTTTACCCAGTGTAAAGCGTCTTTAATATAAAAATTCATAAAAAGCTGAAAACAAAAATTTATAAAAAATCATTATGTTTTTTAAAAATACATTTTCCAAAATTTTACCTAGTGTAAAGCGTCTTTAAAATAAAAATTCATAAAAAGCTGAAAACGAAAATTTATAAAAATTACTATACATGCAAAAAATACATACGTATCTTCCAAGATTTTACCTCAGCGCCTTCAGCAACGCGACGAGACCAAAAACCCAAAGTTGATTTTAACCCTTTANTTAAAATAAAAATTCATAAAAAGCTGAAAACAAAAATGTATAAAAAATTACTATACATGCAAAAAATACATACGTATCTTCCAAGATTTTACCTCAGCGCCATAAGCAACGCGACGAGACCAAAAACCCGAAGTTGATTTTAACACTTACTCTATTCTGCAGTTTTATTATTTAAAGTTTTTTAAGTTTCGCCTTGCCCTTCGATCTTCTAAACTGTTTTTCCTCATTCCGTGTTAGCCATCTCGCATTCATGAATAATAATACGGTGACAATGTATTCGTGAAGACGTAAACGATGAACATTGCACTCGTCCTTCTCGTCAAACCATTCGGGGAAAAATTCGTCGGTGTGATCTTTGATATACTTCAGCAATAAAGTCTTTATGCTAGGTCTATGCGCGCTAACTTTAAATAGTTCCGTGTGCCACTTCATATGCATTCTGCTTATTTCAAAAAATTCATCACCGGGATTCACCAGCCTTAAATCGTCGACATCCGTATAGTTTTTGGCTTTAATTAGCGCTTCGGAGCTCATTTCCATTGCGCTTTCATATTTTGTCAATATTTTGGAGCATTTCTCACATGGAACTTTCCTTATTATCTTTTTGTATATGGTAAATCCGGTGTAGTAGCGCTGAATCTGAGGCTCCGCAATTTTTTCAGGCACATCCTCTACAAAAAGCTCATCTGGAATGTCATCCAACAGATCTGCTTCCATGGCCAATTGGGTATCAGGATCGCCCATCAGCGGATCCATCGCTAGGTCTTCATCTGGATAGTCTACCGACAGGTCTTCATCCAGCGAATTTTTGCTTGCATTCGGATGATCTTCTATGTTCCAATCAAGAAATACGTCATCAACATCCTCGCAGTTGCTTCCTTTGTCCTTAAAACGGTGCTTCAATATCTTCATCGACATTAATCTCGCCACAATATATTGTATGTCATGCGCTGTCGGATGCATATTCAAACCTTGGCTTGCTCGTATTTTGTAAAAAAAGTTTTCGAGGGCGTCCTGATTTAATTTTCCCAGCAGCAAAAAGTCCAAGTTAATGCTCTCCAGATATTGCATGTGGTCAAGAAGTCGTTCCGTTTTTTCTCCGCAATCCCTGCGCATTGGCCATTTGAGTCGGTTTTTGTTTCCGACAAATTTGCAGTCAAGCTCATCAAATAAATTGTTCATACGTTTGATAAAAATTTGGGTCGGTTTGACACTTTTCGGGAGATTTTCATCATTCCCCAGCAAATCGAGCTCGTGGCACATTTCAATTCCGGCGGAAACAGAATTGCTCAATAATTGAGTCGCTCGCGATACGCTCATCCTTTTAAAACTGCTTGGATATACATGGGCGTCGGTAAGCTTTGGGCAAATTTTAAAGTGATCGTTGCCTTTATCGATTTCATATAGCTTTTTTACAACTTTATTCATTACAGTGCCGTCCAGGGTTACAAGCTCCTTATTATTTATAAACGTATTTCTCATTGATTTGATTAAGTGGCAATAATTATACATAAAATGTATCTTTGCCTCCTTGTGTAGTAAATACGTGCTCTCCTTTGTGATGCCGAGTATTATAAATGCTGCTTGATTGGCTGTTCCTTGATCGCATACAGTAGCTGTAACTTGTAGCCCAATACTCTGCGCAACTTCCATGTTGGTCTTAATAAGTTGTACAAGGTCATTTCCGCGAACCGTCTATTGGGCTATATAATATGACAAAACATATTTCCACTTGCTGCAAATACCCTTTATCATGAAAAAAGGCATTTGTCTCCGATCAGCATTTCTCGCTCATTTTGCCCTTTGTCTATAAATCCGTCAATAACATCTGTGACTTGGTTATACGTCAGATCTCTTTTTATTCCAATTTCGTCCCATGTCATTTGGCATATGCGATGGCTCTCTGGCATTGACCCAATCATATTCTTTAAATTGGCAATGACATTTTCGTCAATACCAGGACGAACATATCTTATTGGGCGCCATCGCAAAAGTGATCTTTGGTGTGGGAGACGGAATCCCAACTCATCTCGCATGAATCCATATGCCTTGCTGGACATATAGCATATATTTTGAGCCAATGATTTCTCCTCTTGTTTGTATTTTGTATTTCTAACATGCACAATCATTTTCGTG